AACTATTATTTTTGTGTTATGTTTTATATATCTATACTATTTTATAATTTAGTTGAAATATATTTTGTTAACAATATTTATTATTATTTGTAACATTTTTAAGTAATATAAAGTTTTAAAATGTAAAATTTAGAGTTTAAAAATGTTTTCTTTAATTATTAATAGTTTAAATTAAGTTATTTTATAAAATTTTAGATATTTTGAAAAATATTGATTGAATTTGAGTGAGTTTAAGCATATTATGTATTTTTAGATTCTAAATACCCGGACCCGACCCGGACCCGATATGGATCCGAAAATTACGGGTATTTTATAGGTATTGGAATTAAAGACCCGAACCGACCCGGACCCGGCAAGACCCGACCCGGAACCGACCCGAAAAATCATAGGTACCTATATGGGTCTAAATTTCCAAGACCCGAAAGACCCGGACCCGACAGGACCCGGCCCGAACCCGACCCGAGGACCCGGATGCCCAGGCCTATGATCATCACTGTAGCTGGAGGTGGATTCTGACCTCGCCATTCCACAATGTCACGATACATGTGGTAGTGTCTGCTTTCTGTTTCAGTTTTTTTGTTGTTGTTGTAATTAGAGTGATATCCAAGCTAATAAACATATTATATATAAAGGTCCAGAGTAGATGGATAACTAACCGGATTTGGTATGTACTACAGAGATTCCAGCGTCAAAGAGCCCTTGCAGGTTGAAATCAGAGGTTTGCGTTTGCTCGGCATAGGCAGGCAGTGATGGTGACTGGACCAAAGTAGCCTCGTTCCTCGAACTCCCCTTCTATACTCTGTCGGATCAGACCAGTAACATAACTCTTCGGAATCGGACAGTACTTCATGTCCCACCACACCGATATTTTACCTGTCGCGTGTTCATCCCTCGCCAGCATCCTTTAAACCCTAACTTATCTCGCACACAAGTTCTCGAGACATACTAGAGTTTCTTTATTTATACACATCAAACTAATGGGCCTTAACAAAAGTCGGATCGTTTATCACTTAGTATTATTGTATCTAACTCTCCAAGAGACTTCACATGTGCCAAATATATGTTTGTTCATCTAAGACAAGTTTTATGAAACCAAAAGAAACTTCAAAGTAGAACTAGAACATAGAATGTACAATAACTGATTCAACCAAAAGATACTTTCATAAAAATGTGAATATGGAAAGGATTGAGATAGTAGCCTAAAAGATAAAAAAGAAGATGAAAAATATAACTCAACATAATCTGTCAAGCTCAGAAGAGAAGGTGAATCTCTTCTTACTGATGTTTCCCTACGTTTCAGAAGGTTGGTTTTGGAAAACCTGAGGGCAGAGTGAAGAGTGGATCAGTACCACTTGTGTGGCCTTGGAAAGCTTGTCCTAATGCGTATCCAAGTGCCCTAGCAACTGGTACTGCAACCGCATTCCCAACTTGAATGTACCTGACAACAAATTTGAGATGCATAAGATAAGTTATTCGAAGATATATGGGAGTTATAATAACTAAAACCTCATTGTGTGGTCAGGACAGTGACTTACTTTTGCTTGGTAGGACCAAAGAGTCTGTAGTAATCAGGGAAGCCTTGGAGCCTCGCGTTCTCTCGGACAGTCAAGACACGATCTTGGTTTGGATGGATGATGACCTTTAACAATAACAAGCAGTATTAACAGTGATATTACTCATTTAAATTGTCTCCCTACAGCTCAACGTATCTATACAATTTGAAAAACGACATAGACTGTTGGAGCTATTCTCAAGAGTGAAAGAGAGACTAACATGATTGTGTGGCTCGGCTCTCCCAATAACAGTTGGGACAGTTTCATCCCACCAAAGCCGTCCAAAGGGTCTGCAAAGTAAAATGGTTCAGATGATTTTATAGATTGAAAACATATACATATATGCCAAATTAAAAAAAGAATAGAGAATTGAATGTGGAAATCAAGGACTCACTTCGTTGATGTTCCCCTGACATATGTCATGGCATAATCTGGAATCTGTTTGAATAGCACAACACAAGACATGTCTCTTTAACAGCAAATGAAGAGAGAGAGCAAGACTGATAAAGAAGACAGAAAGAAACGAGATATTCAGTATTACCAACGGGTTATTGGATTCGAGATAGACCCTGGGGATGTTAGGATCCCATTCAACTTTGTTATCACCATTAACAGTTACACCAGGTAAGTCCCTAAAATTCGCTCCCTATACAATCAATACAACATTAAAACTAGAACAGAGAGCAAAACAAAAGGAAGAAAAATGTGATGAATGAGTGTGAAGATGCTTGATGTACCTTCTTCTTGGGGATCGAACAGACACGTTGATAATCATCTTTGTTAAGATTCAGAGGATGGTGATCGTACAAGACATCGTTTGTGGAGTTTGACTTGGAATCATTAGGTGAAGGTAACATTCCTGTGGCAAAAAAAAAAGGGAGACACTCCTCAAATTCATTTCTACGTTTGACATCGTTGCAATCCACCAAAAGAATATGAATCTTACCATCATGCGTCAACCTGATAAACTGTTGAAATGGCGTCTCAGGATCTTTGTCATATGGCATCTCCGCCCTCCTCTCATTGTTTGCAACCTAAAATCATCACATTAATGTATCAGGAACAACCCAAGAGATGTTTAGCTACTATTCAGTTAAGATAACACACAGCAAGACTTACAACTGGAAGGTCAGTAAGGACATCTGAGAGTACGATCTTTTCTGCCAACTTAACAGTGTCATTTACTTCATAGGCCACTACGTTTCTCTGCATCAATCATAAACCGAACTCATTGAATAAACGATAACTACTATAAATTTGCTAGCTACATTGAACAATAGGCTTACATCAAAGTTCACAGGAACATTTCCTCTATTGACAACATCATGAGTTGGAAGTGGGAACTGAGGAAGTCTCTGAAACAAACAAACAAAAAGATACAAAAAATTAACTGCTTCATCTTTATTCATTGATACCAAACAAAGAAGTAGAGCATTGAATAAGCATTACCTCGCTAGATCTTGCCCCCCATAAGAAGAACCGCCTGCGGAACTGAGCAAGACCATATGACCCTGCCGCCATCATTCCCATTCTTGTCTGATAATTCATTTGGACAAGCCGTCCCACAGCATAGCGTGCAAGAAAGCCACCAGCAAACTTAAGCATGTCTACCACATTCTCCATGAGAACATACTTCGGCTTCAGAAAGTCCACAACTTTCATGTATTCCAGAAGCTGCTGGTTCTTATCACCTTTTAGCGGCTCTTTTGTGTTCCTGAATCTGTTGAAACCGCTAATTCCTTGGCACGGAGGACCTCCACAAACAACATCAACACCTCCCTGAAATTAATTAGGCAGATGTGTCAAACAAATAAACCGAAAAATACAAATAAGATTCAGACAAACTTAGTTTACTTACTGGCAATGGAAGGATGTTTGTTTTATATCCATGAACAACGAACTCTTTAATTTTCTCACGGCAATTGCTGCTCACAATAAATCCAGAGACGTTAACAATCTACTGACATATATCATTTTATTGAAAACATTTGCGACAAGTGATAATGTTTTTCTCACCTAAGACCTTCAATAGGCTCCCATGTGTCATGGGAATCCCCATAATTCTTCCACTGGACCTATTATATACCAAAACAACAAAGAAGATTTTGTTTGTGAGGTTTTTAATTAATCACACGATAAATGTGAAACTTTTAAGGAACAAAGCAAACAATACCTTCAGATGAAGTCCACCTTCTTCCCCTTTCTTAATACCAATAACCTTTTCAACTTCAAAAATCTCTCCACCATCTTCGCCATCAGTCTCATCGCTGCCATCTTCAGCTTCTTCTTCCACAACACTCATCCCATAAAGGTTTTTGTATTTTTCGGAGTCAGCACATTCAATCAAAGAGAAATGAATGCATAACTTCTCCCACTCCTTGAGTAGAAACAGAAAATCTTCTGCGGACTCGTTTCTCACCTAAAACAGTGAATTGACAACTGAACATAAACACAGAAGACAAAGGAAAAAAAAGACAATAACAGAGGAATATTTAAAAAAAACACTTACTTCTGTTTCCGGGTGGTTATACTTTATGCTTTGAACAGCATACTGGTTCGTGTCAACAGCCCATTTCTTGAGAAATCATAGAAAACAAAACAAAAGATAAAACACTAACGAAATGCTAACTTCAACAATGATAATAGCAACGAAAAGGCCTCACCGTGACAAGCTTCACCCCTGACAGCTGAGCTCCCATACATAAGCCAGTTGACATGGCTCCACACCCACAATACAAATCTAACAGTGTAGCATCTGTTCTTTGCTCAGGCGTAACACACTGACTTGGTTGCAAAGCTTCAAGTGTTGAAAAAGGCAGACGATAGCTCATGTTGCAGTAGTAATCGCAGGTTTCAGTCACTTCATTATTCTCCTAGCATCAGAAAAAAAGAAAGTAATATGTTAATAAAACTCAATGCTGAAAATAGACTACTAATGATAAGAACATACAGTTAATGGGATCATCAGAATATTCAATTTGTTGAGAAGAACGTCCATAGAGTTTGTATCTTTAATGTCCGAGAGGAAAACACGTTTGTCATCGATCAGATCATCGTGGTTTTGAATTACCTAAAAAGTTAAATAAAATGACTCAGCATACAGAACAATAAAGCTAAAGAGGAATAGATTCTAATGCTTACGGTATCAAAGGCACGGTAAAACCATTGAGCAGTAAAATACATTTTACCATCAGATCCTTCAAAGATTTCGATGATCTTACAAATGAAAGGCTTTTCCTCCTCGTCAGACTGAATAAAAAAAAAAAATTACAAAAGAATATCAAAAGAATAGGACAAGGTGATAATCATTTGTAACAAAGAGATAAATAGGTTCAGTGAATGCATTAATCAGTTTAATATAACAATCAATTAGCCTATTATTTAAATAAACTTTCAGCCTTAAATTATTAGCCAAGTTGTTACAGAGAGTGAACTTATTTACTGAGGATTGATAAAAAATAGTCAGGGCACAATTTGATTTATAACAAGTTAAGATACTGAAAAAATAGTGATGGATGCCTAAACTAATATAGCAACTGAATTAAAAAAAAAATAACAAAAAAACTTTATTGGTAAAATTTAAGAATCCTACAATCAAAAGCACAGCACAAAGGTTCAGTGACTCCATTAATCAATTTATATAATAAGCAATCAGTTAGTAGCTATTGTTTTAAATAATATCTCAAATTTCAAATTATAAGCACAAAGTTGCTACAGAGAGATTGTGTTTAGAGATTAACCTGCACATGAGCATCATCGTTGAGATTGTATGTGATGGATCCATCAAGGATAGCTCGACGAAAATGTCGTCGCGCACGTATAATCTCCTCTTCCTCAACATATCTAACAAAAAAAAATGAATTAGAATTAAAAAAAATGAATTAGAGTTAGTTAGTTAGTTAGTTACACATGGTTTGACTTAGAAACAAAAATGAATTTAAAACTTACTTTTTGTTTTTCTTCATCGGTAGAACTTCAACTTCCTTTTTCTACAGTAAATATTTAATTTAATCAGTTTCAGAAGTTTAATCGTTTAAAAGAAAAAAAAAGAGCTGTGTAGATCTGAGTATTGTTACCTCGATTAATTGATACCTCTCAGGCCAGTTAACCCTAGCTTCCGAATCAGCGATCGGTTCATCTAAAATCCACGACGGATCCTTCTCGGAGTCAATCACCACCGGCTCAATAACTTCCAAAAGCGACTTGGGGATTCTCTTCGCTGTAGTAGAAGTGGGACAGGAGATCTCATCATCGGTAGAAGGAAGCTTACGCTTTGGAGCCATGATTAGAGCTTGAGAGATCTGAAGGAAAGGGAGGAGACGAAAGGAGAGAGACGAGAGGAAGATGTAAAGCCACTTGCGAGCAGGCGGGATTTTAAAGAAAGGAGCGCTAAAACTTTTCGTTTTTTTTTTTGTTTTCATTTTTTTACTATTTTTTGAAAAGCGAATTTTGAAAATTTGGGAGCACCAATCTCACTCTCCCACCTTCCTTTTTCGTAATGTTTTTTAAAAATATTTATTTCCTTTTTTGTTCTGTTTACGTCATTAGAATATAGGAACACGTAGGAGAATTAATAATCACGATGATTAATGAGTCCTGAACATAAGGTTTAATGGGGAAAGTGGATCACTTGCTTCCTAAACTTAAGGATTATTAATCTCCCTCATTTGCACGACTAATCAAAAAAAAACAAAAAAAGAGGAAAGCATTTACTAGACACACAGAGACTAATTAATAGTAATAAAAATCTTGCAATTGGTCCAGCTCAGCATCTTCCTTATTTATAAGTTTTAAACATTTCACCCTCCTACAAGCTTAAACATTTAAATCAATCAATGAACGCATTTGGTTAAATAAATATACGACACATATAAGATGTAACAACATCTAGTCACTTACAAGTTAAAGTCTAGACTTTCATTACCACAGTGTACATTTGGTTTTTTTGAGATTATGGTTTGGTTTATTTCGGTTCGATTGTCTGTATTTTTTTGCCACACAACCACGTTTGTATAGGTACTACGGAGAAACGCAACAGATACAGAGGCAGGGAGGCAACAAGAAGTCTTTATATATACATATAAGTGTATTTTTAGGAGAAAAGAGTTTACCTAATATAATGTCTACTACATCTCTACACACCATTACAAGTGGCTCTGTTGATAAAAAAAATGCCAAGAGTCTCCTCTGTTGTCTCTTAAAAGCTTCCATACAGAATTTTTTTTATTTGGGGAGACAACCAAAGGATACTATCAAGCTTTATGGGAGAAATCTTTGTGCTTCTAAAGCACCAAAAAGGAGGTTTTATGGAGACTGAAGAAGAAGTTTTAAATACATCTGTACAAAGTAAAACGGAGAAGAAGGTTGAGAGTTTGAATCTATTAATATGTAAAACCGAAGAGCTGAGGAAGCATTAAACATTACCAAACATGTTTTCTTTTTAAGCTGTTCCAGTGATCAGTTTTTCACGTTGGTCGAACTTCTTGACTTTTATAACTCCGATTAGAACTTGGAGGCTGAAGAAAGCACAGAATGTGTATGCTATATTCGCTGGTGTCTGACAAACATAAAAAGGAACAAGAGAATGTTGATGAAACTGAGGAGCGACGAGGTTAAAAAAGGTTGATGAGTAACAACTTACTTTTAAAGAATTCAGATACAAAATCGTTGCGAGATTCACTAAACTTCCTGCAGCAACAGCCTGGAGGCAATATAAACCCACTTCAGCACATAAAACAGAACCAACTTATATATCCTTTACGAAGTTTCTAAGAATAATTATTTCTATGATTCACTTCACATATAAAAGATGTAAAAAAAAGAAATGAGAACTAAAGTTTTACTTACACTTCCTATTGTTTTCTGAACAGTTGCTACCCGTTGAAATGCTCTCTCAGACTCCAGTGTTCGGACTCTAAGCTTCAAATCACCTTGTTCCTGCGGAAAGATTCATAAAAATAAGCACAAAGAAAATTCATGTAGCTTGAAGTTTGTGGCAGGTGGATCTCTTAGTGTCTTACAAGTCGTTGGATGATCACAGCTAGCTTTTCAACTCTATCAGCTTGCCTAAATAGATTGTAGAATGCTTGTGATTGCCTGTCCCATCTCGTTCTCAGGTCCTACAATAGTTTTTTTGATTGAATATGATTAAAGAGCTATGCTATAAGATCATATTATAGAGTAAAGATAAGCCTTGCTATTACCTTCACTACAACTTCTACTCCAGCTTCCCGGAACCGCAGCAATTCCAAAGCATATCTGGAGAAGAAAACTACATGGGTACTCTCCAAATATTAACAAGAATATATAGTATATCGTGTGTAGGAGACTCACGGTTTTGCAATCTCCGTTATATCAAACCGTGGGTCAAGACCTTTGCCGATGCCATCCAACACTACAAAGAAAGAGACAGTAAGTAACCATTCATATAATTTTGGTAAGGATATTAAAACAAAACTCAAATGACTTTTACAAACCTGAAAAGGCTCTAACAACAAATGTGAATGTGGCAGGGAACCGGAAAGGTTGATCAGCTGCAATGGCCAATAAGTCTTCTCCGATTGCAGCCAAACGCTGCTTCTTTTTCTCTTGCTTCTCCTCTTTGCTTAGTGGCTTCTTGAACCCAAGCTGTTCTGCTGCTGCTAGTTCTTCTTTTTCCTTTCTTTGTGCAGCAAGCCGCTCTTCGAAACTGTAATAAAATCAGTTGATTGATATCATCAGAAGGATACTACTGGCGTCACCACTCTCACAGATACTTCAGAGAAACCAAGGATGCAACATAGAGGTAGATCAACAAGGAAAAGGTAAATCACCTGTTGAGAAAAAACAGTGCTGTTCTTCTGATCGATGTCAAATCTCCAGTAGGTACAAGCACACCCATTTGAACCATTGCTTGAATGACCTGCCACATATGTATGAGCTCAGGCCCTACAAGGCGACATGGATGTAGAAGACTGAAATTGAGAACATAGTAGAAAGTATACCTTATCAGGGTCCTTCTCATAAACACCGTAGAATGCTTCCAATAAACCTTCTCTAATATTTGGGCTGATACTGTAAGAAAAATGTATATAACACATTAGTAGGAGATCATATATCATCACCATATCTTTCACAAAGTAAGAGAATTATGTTGTTGTACCTTCCCATCATTCCAAAGTCGTAAAATATAAGCCGCCCACCGTTGACATCATCAACCGCAATGTTCCCAGGATGCTTCAGAAAGACACAAATACAAATTAGAGTGTAGTCTTTTGTGCATTCGTACACCAAATAAAGAGTCATTGGCACTTTAGGCAAAAGAAAATCAGAGAAGATACTTACAGGGTCGGCATGAAAGAATCCATGAGACAAAATTTGCTCCAAGTAAGATTCAACAGCATATCTCCCTAGCCTGCATTAAACCAAGTCATAAATCAACAACAAAGAAACTAGAGAAATGACAAATATCTAGGTCTTACGAATAAGATTTAAGAAATTACAAACCTTTTTCGATCAACACCTAACTGATCTAAGGCTTGTATTTTGTTAATTTTAATCCCAGGGACATACTCCATTGTCAGGACCTACATAAAAACATCATGATAAGTATTGCGTTCAAGCTTGTATATGATGAAGTAATAATGATCACAGGTAATAATATTACCTGAGGTGTGGTGTACTCCCAGTAGATGGATGGAACTTTTACGTACTCTAAGTCTTTGAAGTTATTAGCAAACAATTCCGAGTTAGCTGCCTCCTTTGTGTAATCAATTTCCTACAAACATAACACATTTTTCTTACTAGTTAGAGGTCACTTCAGACTGAAGCAGATAAAGAAGATTCAGTTAAGCCTCCATGCATAAAAAAACTACCTGGTACAGTACACTAGCACATTCATCATAAATTGCAACCCAATCTCTCTTTGCACCATCTGATTTTGGATCCACCTTTTGGAGATACTCAGCAATCACCTACACAAAATCATAACAAAAAGCCAATAACTCAGGAGAAGCAAACCATGAGACAAGGACGCTTCCAACAGAGCGTGGCTAGAGACACTAACCCTCAAGTTTTTAAGATCAATATCAAAGAGATCCTTGAGACCAGGTCTCTGTACTTTAATAACAACCTCTTGACCCTTCAATCTAGCACGGTGAACTTGGCCTGTACTTATCAAAGACCAAAACACTTACCATTACTATCACTTCCTTGCATAAAACATCATTACCACAAAGGACTCTCTTACCAAGACTAGCTGCAGCAATAGGTTCATAATCAAAACGGTCGAATACATCATCAACAGAAGCTCCAAGCTCCTCTTCAACAATAGATAAAGCCGTAGCAGAAGAGAACGGAGGAACTTGATCCTGCAAAAAACATAATATTTATAAATAAAAAAATTATACAACACATAAGAGAAGCCATTTTGGATTAAACAAGAAACCAAACCTGAAGTTCTGATAATTGATCAACATATTCTTGAGGAAGAATGTCAACTCTGGTAGAAAACTGTTGCCCAATTTTAATAAAAGTAGGACCTAATCTCAATATATTCTCCTTCAACCACTTAGCTAAAACCTTCCTTCTCAAAACCTTCTTCTCCTCAGTCATTCCCCCTGCAAAAACACAAAAAAGCAAATCAGAATATTCTTTTACACTAAACAAATACTAATCAAATAAAGTAAAAGCAAACAACCTTTGTATGAAAACTTCTGACCGCTTAACCATGTCCTGAAAACAAACATTAAGACAAAACCCCAAATCTCCAAAGATCTTTGTATCGTTGAGTAAGTCTTGAACCTACTCCATCGACCACCAGGTGCAACAGAAACCTGTGTTTCATGTAATAAAATCGTTTTTTTTTTTTTTTTTTATGTAATAGAATCGTTAGAAAGGAACAAACTTGAAATTAAGACACTGTAACTTTATACCTCAACTTGTTGTTTTCGTTGTTGTTGAGATGTCTTAAACCAAGCATCCTCTTGACCAATATCTTCTACTCTCTTCTGCCTCACTTCTTCTTTCCTCTTCTTTGTAACTTCCTCCGTTTCAACCGTTACGTCTCCGTTCACATACTTCACCAAACTACCGTTACCGTTAAAACGGGCGTTTCCGTTGATGGATGTTCTCGCAGCTCCGTTGCTGTTTAAACGGGCACTTCCGTTTCCGTTGATCACTGCGTTTTCACGGTCTTCCACTGCGACATTATCGTCTTTAGAAGCTCTGATTCGAAGCGGGAGGTTGTGACTGTATCTCAAGCGGTTTCTCGGTAAGAAGATTCCGGGGATTGAGACGGAGCGAGTGGTTGTGGAGTGGAAGTTGATGTTTGGTAAGAGGAGAGACGAGGGAGAAGAAGAAGAAGACATTGATGGTGAATTTTGCAGATTAGAAACCTGCGTGGAAGGTAAGAAGAAGAAGAGGAGAGAGAGACTTTGGCACTTTGCAGAGGAGGAGGAGAGGAGAAGGAAGCAGAGGATGGCAACAAGTGTAACTAAAGGGGTGGATATAAAATTGACACGTGGCTTGAGATTAGATGAGTGAAGTAGATGCTCTGGTGTTATGATTGGTTGTTTTTTGACACATCATCTCGTTATCACAGCCACACAGAAAGCCTTCTTCTCTTAAAAGAAAATAAGAGTTTCTGGGCCAATATATAGAGTTAACCAAGTGATTGGGCCTTCGCATTTTATTTAGTTTTTCTCTGACATTGATTGTACGATCAGTTTTTATAGTTAACCAGATCGAATTATAGAGGGATTTGCATGTTTAGTTGTTAAACTAAAGTATAATAAATTCATATATATATATATATATATATATATATATATATATATATATATATATATATATATATATATATATCATACCATACTGTTGTTATATAAAAACTTGGAAGCCCCTTAGTCCAGTGGTTTAACTTAAAGTTCATTAATACTTTTACACCATGAGAGGTCCAAGTTTTAGGACGGCTCAGGTGATGCAGTTAAGTGTAGATCATCATAATATAAGTAGTATTATCGATTGTCGAATATGTAATATTTCTCATAATTGTAACTAGATTTTGATATGCGCAACCACGCGGGTGTTTTTTATTTTATTGTGTTATTTTATATATGATTGACATTTTAATGTTTAAATTTGATTATTCATATTATTTTAAGATTTTTCTTTGGTAAAACTATTTTATTTTAAGATGTTAAGACAATTATGTTACATATATTATTTGTCACTAATCATGTTTATTACATGAACCAAATTTTTATTTGTTCATTTTTAAATCTAATCATTTAATATCTTTGACTATATTTATACACTCATTTATTCAAAAATTAGTTTTATAGTTAAACAATATGGTATTTATTTCAAATTTATATGAAGAAATTTTTATATATACGAAATGTAAGATCAAATAGCTGTGAAATAATTGGTATATTTATTCTATAAATTATTAGTATAATATTTTACAAAATATAAGAGTAGCATAAATTATTTAAGTTTATATATCACTGTGTGTATGTGCCCGATTAATTTAGTCTAAAAAGTATAAGAGTAGAATAAAATATTATGAAAGATATCTGAATCCGTACTGAATTTTCAAAATTTAAGATCATTATAAACTATGTTACTGCATATTTGTCCCCTTATTTGATTTAATAATGTCTTATATTTTATTGTATCATATGATCTAAAAAGTTATATAAATAATATTGATATAGTGATCTTGAACTCTGAAAATATACTTTGTATAAGGATCCATTTAATAAAACCATGGTTATATTTTAGCTAGCATTAAATCATCAAAACTAATATCAGGCGTTAAAATTACAAAAACATATATTTAGGAATGAAATCAGGAAAATAGTTTATTAAAGATACTCCTAATTAGTTGTGTAGTTGTTATATAAATAAAAAGGTTATTAAGCAATTATTTAGGAGGTGGTCCAACTTAAAAAATCACACATGAAATGAGTTGTGATTTCTATTTTAATATAATAGATATCATAAAAAATCAGCTTTAAATAAAAAAATTTTAAAAACTTGTTTTCAATAAACTAGATTTTGATCCTCGTTTAGAAAGCGCTTCCAAAATTTTTTTTGGACTTAATTATTTTTTTTAATGAATTTATATATAAGATACTCTATAAGTTTAGAAATTTTCTTTGGAATTGAGGAACTAAATTGAAAAAAATGAAACCAAAATAAATAGAATTGAATAAATAACCGAGTAGATCCTATATCTCTGGAACAAAAAAAAACTGAAACCGAACCAAGAAATAAAGGGATATCTGAAGTTTTAAAATACAAATTATTTACCTACAAAAAATAATTTTATTTAATTTCCAAATAGCTAAATATTCTACTATTTATAAGTCAATTACCCAAAAAGCTAAATTATATATTTGTATACAAAATAAAAGCAATATTTTCATATATTATCTGAATATGTGGTCGAGTCAGTAAATTCAGTGTCCATATATAATTCGGAAATATTTATTTATTTCTTCATATAGCATTGGTTCTGCGAACTTATATGTCTTCACAAAATCCGGATTTAACAAAAAAATATTAATAAAAAAATCTGATTAACCCCAGAAAATCGTCATTAACCCGTGAGCCGACATCAGTTAACCCGGTCAAAACCAAGAAAAATCTGATAATATTTTTTTGAAATTTTATTTAACTTCTTGTATATTTATAATAGTACATAAAGAGAATAAATTATCTCTTTTTCATATAAAGTAAATGCATTGTATGTATGTTATGAATTTTAATTTTATATTTTTAATTATTATTTTAAAGTTGCATTATGAATTTTAGAATTAAAATTAGTTTCCATTTGGTTTTTCATAAAAACAAAATAGAACAATGCTATTACACACTTATAGCATAAAATAGATGAGAATACAAAATCTATTACCATGATAATGGTTCTCTTACAAAGTTATTGAATTTTTAGACTTTGATAAGAGCTTAGGATATAAGGATTGATAAGATATAAGTGATATTTCAGATAAGATAGAAAAACATGTTAGTAAAGATATATTTTAATTTTGAAATTAATTAGACCAAACCAACCACAAATCATAACTAATCTTTTCCAATTTATTTGCTTTGGTATTAGATGTCAGATCCATTAAGATTAGGTGTATTAAAAGGCAGAAAAAAATCAAAAGACAAATAAAAACATTTATTGTGATATAGTTAGAGAAATACAAACTATGACCAGAAATAATAATTAGTTAATAATAGGTCAACAACTTTTTAAGTAGATTTTTTTTTGGATGATTATGTTTTAATAATATAGATATTTTGAGGATGATTGGTTGGGTTGTAAGTAATGACTTTAGCTTTAATTTCTATCTACAACCATTTAAATCACCAATCATGCTTTAATTCGTTTCTAAAGCTAAAGTCAAAAAAATGGAAAAGTGGTTGTAGGAACCCTATTTTCTAAATCAAAAAAATTATTGTTGTAGGATTGTTGTAGGAATATCTTTCTTTTTATATTTTTTTCATTTAATTTCTACAGTTACATTAGATACAACTACATCAAAAACATCTACAGTCTAAATTCTACAGCAAAATTTTTAAATCTATAGTTCAACCAATCACCCCCTTTATACGTCTTGGCAAAATCCAAATTTAACAAAAAATTATTAATAAAAAAAATCTGATAAACCCCAAAAAATCGCCATTAACCTGTGAGTCTACACCAGTTAACTCAGTCAAAACAAAGAAAAATCTGATAATATTTTCATAAAATTTTATTTAACTTCTCGTATATTTTATAATAGCACATAAAGAGAATAAATTATCTGCTTTTTCATATAAAGTAAATGCATTGTACGTATGTTATGAAATTTAATTTTTATATTTTTAATTATTATTTTAAAGTTACATTTATGAATTTTAGAATTAAAATTAGTTACCATTTGGTTTTTCATAAAAACAAAATAGAACAATGCTATTGCACACTTATAGCATAAAATAGATATGAGAATACAATTTTTTTTATCATGATCATGGTTCTCTTACAAAAGTTAATTAAATTTTTAGACTTTGAATAAGAGTTTAGGATATAAGAATTGATAGGATACAAGTGATATTTCAGATAAGATAGAAAAATATGTTGGTAAAGATATATTTTAATTTTGAAATTAATTAAACCAAACGACCACAAATCATAACTAACTCTTTCCAATTAATTTGCTTTGGTATTAGATATCAGATTCATTAAGATTAGGACAAATAAATACATTTATTATAATTTAGTTAGAGAAATATAAACTATGACCAAAAATAATAAGTAGTTAATAATAGGTCAACAATTTTTTAAAAAAATATATCTTTTGAATGATTCTATTTTAATAATAGAAATATTTTATAAAAATAATTAGATTATGATATCAATACTACATTATAACCAGATGCATTTTTACCAAAAATAATTAAAAAATGTCTCATAAATTCTATGACCAGGAACATAAACTTCTTAGAATACACTGCACATGGAAAAAAAATACAATGAATAAACACCGAACTTGAGACTAAGCAAAACCAATGAATCAAATATTCTGGTCCAGTAATTTACCTATAAGAAGCTAATCACAATTTTTTCTATAAAAAAATGAAAATCGATTCCCCAAGAAAAGGAAAAAGTTCGAAATTCGAAGCGGCGAAAAATCATTCAAAGTTAAATACTTTCTCAAAAATTCCAAATCGACCCCATAAGTTTATCTTCACGCCTATGGACGCCCTCCTCCTCCCTCCTTCGCCGGATCCCCAAAATTCAATCCCCGATCCGGCGAATTCCGTCGACGAAGTCAGAGACGAGACAATGAGGAAGAAGATGAAACCATCTCCTTTAGAGAAAAGAAAGCTCAAGGCAAAGAAGAAAGAGACAACCAACAACAACGAAGAAGCTTCTTCCTCCTCTTGCTCTTCCTCCTCTGCTTCTAATCTCAATTCTACTAAAAGGGTTTCGAGAGTGGCTCATAGATTGCGAAACCCTTCGGTTCGGTTAGGTATAACTCGACGAACCGTTGGGGAGCGACAAGCCGAAGCCTTGGCTCTTCCTCTTGGCATGTCTTTTGCGGCTTTTGCTAATCTGGTTCGATTCAAATTCTCAAACTTTAACTCAATTTGCTCTGTTCTTTGCTCTGTTTTTGATAGGAAACTTGACTTTTGACTTTTCGTTTTCCTGTTCTGTCTTTTTATGTTCCTTTAGTTGTCCTGTCCGAAAAAAAAGTTCGCATATTTAGAGAGTTTGATCCAATTAAGTTGTCTTAATTTCAAAATTGCAATTTACCCTGAGTAGAACAGAGGATCTTCTCTTCAAATCCGAATCTAAAAGTGTGAAGCTTTAATATGTCTTAAAGCTTGAGCCTTTCTATCACTAATGTGTTGCTCTGATTGTGATTTCAGTTTGACATGTTCCTGTGGTATCTACTTAGCCGACCAAAGTCATTGACTTGCATTGCTCTGTTTTTTTGTTATCTTATAGGTTCTTCAGAGAAAGAGTGTTGCTGGTCAGAATGTTTATGTTGATGATCTTGCAGTAGTAAGTAGTTTCTGACTTTTTCATATGATTCTCCTTTTCTTTCTTTACTCTGTTTCTGTTTTGGTAGTGTATATAATCTTCACTGGTTAATGCTCTTCTGCAGATCTCTGCTTCTGCTGTTAAAGAATCTCTAGCCAATGTAAGCCACAAGCTCTCTCTGCGTTCTTTAGTTTAAAGATCTTTTTTGGTTACAATAACGATGTGATTGGTTACAGGTATATGGCGACAAGCTTGGTTCCTTTGCAACAAACTTTGAGAAATCATTTAACAGTACTCTAAAGATCCTTAAACTAACCAACGAATCTGCATCTCCACGCCAATTACCGAATAACGACGTTGCGAGTTGTGATTCAGACAACGAACTATCTACAAAGGAGACTTCGTCTGCTACGTCTGCTTGTGAAGCAATACAAGGCTCATCCATGAATGAGATTGTTCTACACGAAGGGACACAACGACAACTCTCTAGCGTATCAAGAACCTCCTCAGCCATGCCGTTGACAACATTCGAAAGAGCTGTAGATGAGCAAGCAAGAGCCAACGATCTAAAGATCATGGAGATTGGTCTTACAATGAGGAAGATAAGGCTTAAAGAAACTGATGTAGAACTAAGGTACGAATCAAACAACTTGGGGAAATCAAAGCTAGAAATGAATGCTACCAAAGCAGCATTCAGAGCCGAGAAGTTCAAAACAGAGCAAGAAGATACAAGAAAAGCCGAGATGGTTAACAAAATCATGGACTGGCTAGTAGCAAGCGTTGTCGCCATGTTGGTTTTTATGTTATACGGCGCTTACGTGTTCTCACATCAGAGAATCAAGGAAGCGGCCTCAATCTGTGAGCCACCATCAGAGGAGAAAACATCTTCCTGGTGGGTTCCTAAGCAAGTCTCATCGATAAACGCAGAGTTCAACATCTTGCTTTGCCGTCTAAGAATATGGATTCAGAGCTTCTTCGGTGTGTTGATGATCCTCGTCGTCACTTACTTCATAATCCAACGCTCGTCAGGTACAACAAAGCAGACGATGCCCGTAACGTTCATCGTTATTTTCCTCGGTATTGTCTGCGGTTTGCCTGGTAAGTTCTGTGTGGATACGTTGGGAGGCGATGGTAAACTCTGGCTGCTTCTTTGGGAAACGTTTTGCGTTTTGCAGTTCGTTGCAAACGTCTTCACGTTGAGTTTTTACCGTTTGATGTATGGTCCAGTGAGTCAAGGAGATGGTCGTTCTAGTAACACTATGGTTCCGTATTGGGCACGGCGTAGTGTATTCCTTGGGTTGATTATAGTACTTCCTGTGATGAATGGTTTGTTACCGTTTGCTACATGTGGTGAGTGGAGACACCATTGGGCTACCTGGTGGGCCGGGCTCTCTGATGATTGAAGGGGAGCCTTTGTTTGTAATCTTTGTATTATTATTTATTGGTACGACATGGGTTTGGACTTATCATCTTTGAGTTTTGGTTTTTTATGTGTTGGAAGAAACAATTAGTGGTATCAATGTTGCAAAGTTATATATTGATGTATTATTTTGATTAATGATATACGGATGTTATTTACGGTTGTGACTTGTCAACTGGTTTTAATTGGATTAAACAGTGATTAATGTGTTCATTAATATAATGAGAGATATTAGAAATGATAAATCCTGACATATTTTTAAAAAAATATTACAACATTTTAGCTATTTTTAATGTTATCCCTTATATCTTCAAAGAGAAAATGGCCAATAAAACTATGAACTTTCAAATTGAAGATAAAAAAACTTTCAGCTCATGTTTGAGCAAAAAAATTCTCAACTTGTAAATATTAGCCGTATTAACTCTCATATTTTGTTGACTTAGCCATTTAAGAAACCTAAATAGTCAACTCTTAAATTCAATTACAAAAAAAAGACGACAGTTAATTATTTAAACGATGTTGTTTTAAAATATGATTAAGCATTAATCAAATAGTCTCGTTTTGCTTTTGTAAACACTTAAAACATCTTATTCACGAGACCAGAACCCCAAATCAACTTCATCTTCCTCATTTCAAGCCAGATAGATAAATTCATTTTTGGACTCTAGTTTCAAGAAAGAAATGCTTTAAATGTTTAAAGAAGAAAAACAACATTGTTTGACTGATTTTTTTTTTAACTACATTGTTTACAAAGTGAACATACAACTTTTGAAAATCTCACATTATAAATTTTGTTATCACAGGTTTATAGCTTTTGTTATACAAATATTCAGATAATCATAATACCATATGATTAGGAAGTCTCATTTAATAATTATACATATTAAAATATTATATATATATCATTTAAATTTAATTATATCCATACAAAAAAAATTGTTTAGATTTATTTACCATAAAATAATTGTAAATAAGCAATGACTTGTTCCAATTTAATTATATATATAATACTTTATTTTTAATTAATTAATATATATTATTATTTTGTTAACTTTATAATATTACAAACATAAACAAGTAGTAGTACGTAAAAATATTTTTTACATAGAATATTCATTCAACGCAAGACGTGAATCTTAAACTAGTAATAAAATATTGTGGGTGGATGGATGGGGGTAATGAGAGAGCTATGTCACTGAATTAGATAACACTGAGAACCTTTTTTTGTTTTCTCCGTTGACTATTGGCTAATTGGATGACTATTGGCTAATTGGATCAGAATCAGGGGTATCTAGTAGTATCTTAATAAACATCAGAAGTAAGAATAGTAGCGCATAAACATGGAACTCATGATGCCTAGGAACGTTTTGTCGAGCAAGTAAGGAACCCAAACCATTTTCATATCTTTCATGAGAATTATTTCATCCGCTTGGTTTTGACCCTGATATAACTCTTATCAAAAGGGGGGGGGGGAGAATGAGTCAACCTGTAGATAGATAAGCAATGAAACTAACCATCAGGTAACAGTTAACCAATATGATCGGTGCAATGCTGAGTTTTGTTACAAAACAGTGATATGATTAAAAAAAAGGAGATCAATGCTTACCCAAACGACTGCATGAACACATATAGTCTTGTGTTTTGTCTTTTTGTCATGTACTACTTGATCTGCAATGATAAGATATAAGAAATAAAAATGGGAAGAGATAGATTCACATTGCGCAACCAGATGGATTCTCAAGTAAATAAGAAGAAAAGATGAATTTCAGTTGAAACTAATATACCAAAACGAAGCAGTACAAGTAGTTATCAGAGAGGAAAAAAAATAGCTTATACTCTATTCAAACAAAACTTGGACTTTTTCACATACATATTTCCACCTTTTTGCAGAGCTTCCAATCATACAAAGGAAATAATGTGAGTATGTCACACTCTTTAATAAACTTTTGGAACACTAACAGAACACTAGATTCTTAGAAATGGAACTTACTTCAAGATTTGTGTAATCCCACTCGAATTCATAAAGCTAGTCCAATTGATCCCATTGTTTTGCCAATTTACAAAGCATAATCAAACAAGACAATATATTAATAGTGTAGAAGATAGGCCGAAGCCAAAGCAAAACCATATTTCTTGAGACTTAATACCTCAGTTCCAACGGGAATGCTTCATTCCACAAATCCTCCTGAATATACAGAGAAACATGAAAACCATTTGAGTACTAATGCAAACTATTGAGTTCTTCTTGAAAATTTCAACCCACAAACAAAGAAAATTAAAACATAGAATTAAATATCTAAATTATACCACAATGACACATCTTATCGAAAAATGAAGTGAGAAAAACCATTTCATATCCATTTCTATACATCATCACAAACTAGCACTCAATCGTCAAAATACGACACAAAGCCTAAGAGATATAGATCTAAACAGAGAAACCTAAAACCCATATGAAAAAAATATCAGATTACGCTTGTCCTTGAAGTACTCGTCATTCATCTCAACCTTTGGGCTTTGGCTTCGATTCTTATCATGAGGTTACGTTAGAGATGTGCCAGCATTTTCGGATGACATTTCCAAACAAAATATAAAGAAAACTAAAGAAGTAAGTTAGCATAAATCATTTAATTAAAATTATTTAGAATAAGAAACAACATGTTACATAAAAGAAAACTAAATAACTAAGCTAACAAAAACAATTATAAAGTTTAATATATTTGCACTCAGCCTTACAAAACTAGTGAAATTTTTCAAAATTAAATTTTATAATTGATTTTTCAATTGATAGAATAGTCTAAGTGATTCAATTTTTTTCTATAATGTTCAAAATAGAGATAACCTTAACATATTATAATTAATTAAAAATACTACACTTAGCACAATAAAATTTTGAAACAAATATAAGAAAGTATATTCTGTTAAGAAATAATAAAGATTGAATATGATAGAGAGAGTCTAATTAATATAGTAAAATGATAATAATCTGACCACTTGGTGGTTGAGTTTCCTCACTCGGCTGAATTAGCTAACCTGTTTTTTCATTGAGCTACCAGTGTCGTACACCTGACCGTCATATATTTTTCGTTTATGAAAATAACTGTTAGATCATGATATGTTGTTTCTTCATTTGGATAAATGTATCATAACTATCAAACCTATTGGATCCATTTTTATATAAATAGACATGGTTCATTGATTCGGTCAGTTGATTCCTTAATGATCGTGTCAAGCGATGATAGAAAATAGATCAGTAATTCAGTATTTTAACTTCTGTAAGTTCTGTCGATCAGTAAACAAAACCATAACCATCAAACTCTGTTTATTTAAGCATTTCATGTGTGAAATAAATGACTATATAAGTCTCTATTATATTATATTACAACTTATTAGTAGACTACTATGTATACATTTCATATACTTGTTTTACTCTGTCTATTATGTGTTTGTGTATATATATGAAGCCTAATGAACCTTTCCTCCTTTTCCTGAGCTTGGCTTTGGCTTAGGCTTATGCTTCTGGAACCCCCGCTCTGTGATTTCAATGGTCATATCATCTCCTTCCTCCTTTGTCTCCATAACATCTTCTTCTTCTTTTTCACTGTGAGATGAAAATGAGGATGATGGTGAATAACTTCCAAGGCCGAACCACTTCAGAAGATGAATTGTTACATAAGAACGATCAAAAAACATAAATGGGATCCAGTGAGAACCGTTCTCTTCGCCGTCTCTCATATTCTCCATTATTTTATTTTTCTTTTGATGAACTCTGAGAGAGAACAATGGTGTGTAGTTAGGTTGGTGATGGAACTTGATAACATATGCTCCATTTAACTCCTTTTATAAGGGATATCTATATCAGCATATCACTTGGTTGTTGGTCAACTATGTAGTTGTTTGTTGACCGGGTCTGTAATAAACCGGGTTTGGTAGGTACAGACTTCTTAGTTTGAATGAACTATAGTTGGTGCTGGTATATACAAAACCGGGTAACGTATTTGACTTGTATTAAAAAGTAAAACTAAAATAACAATTTTGACTTAGAACGACGCGGTTGCCACAAATACTTGCGAGTTTGTGTGCTTGGAGCTTGTAGTCTTGGTCAAAAGTCAATTCACGCTCTTTCTTTGGCTTTGTTTGAATTATACAAATGGTCTGAGGTTGAATTCGTAGTAGTAATACAATGAAAAAAATAGATCTTTGGTTATTAACACTATTGGTTTATTACTACTTTGCTTCTAATTTTTTTTAAACTGTTATAAAAATGTTTATAAATCATAGCTACTATTATCCATAGGAAATATAATATTTATCTCGAGTTCATCTTCACTTAACTTTCTATGTACGTATACTTTGTTAAATAAGTAAAATTCACGTAAAACCAATTTATGGCTGGACAAGAGACTTGTTTCTGTTACATTAGGAAAATAATACGATGATGAACTAATATTACTATAAAACCATGTTTTGGACATGTTTCTGTTTCTTTTTTTTTTTTGCTAAATTGGACTTGTTTCTGTTGCATAAGAAAATAACACGATGATGAACTAATAGTAATATGGAATCATGTTTTGTACTTTACTTCATTAGTTTGCAGATAATACGTAATAACTGTTCATAATATTCGCATTATTCCTTAGACATGATGCAGCTTTTTGTTTGTTTGCAAATGGCTTAATACATTTCATGGTCACTATGGTGGTAGTCGTGGTCGTGTTACTGGTCTCTTACAAATTATAATTGTATAAGAATAATGATTATAGTAGGGCATATCATTTTCTTTTTATCGCGTAGGACCTATTATTATTAAGACCCCCAACCTTCTGTCTCATGGGTCACCAATCACCATGCCTTGTTTAATCATTATGGTCCTTCAGTGACGCGAGACTTATCACCACGTACGGTATGTGTGTTTTATGAAATGTTTCGTTAATTTATATGAAATGTTTCGTTAATTTATATGAAGAGAATATAACACATATTCTTAGTTGGTGTAGCTTTCTAAGAACGAAGAATATAATGTTATCTTGTTTTATATTCCAAGTTGGTGCGGCATGCTCCTCACTATGAATATATATATTTGTCATCGAATATTTCAATTATTTTATGAAGAGTATAATATTATGGATTAATCGGTGGGAGCCGCATGTGAGTTTTGATGTTTTCATGTATAATTCACATTGTGAATTTCTGATTTGATCTTTCCTTTAATTCATTTTGTCTTTTATATTCATATCTGTCATTTTACCTTTTCAATGTAATTTTATACTATATCTATTTATTTTTGGTCTTTTTGAATCATCAGTAGATTTTTATTCAAATCATTTTCATTTAATTAGTTATACATTAAATAAGAAGTATACTTTATTTTTATAATTTTCTTAATCCATATGAAATGAAATTAGTTGATTTACACGAATAGGCTTACCGACATATAGCTAATGAGAGGTAGGACGACCTGTTGACTCATTGTTTGACATTGATTAATGACAGTTGCGTACGATAGTAGTTGTTGGAAATTTACGCTGGAATAATAATGAAGTTGTAATGTTGTTTTCAGATTAATGAACTAGCTTGACCGTTTTGTATCCGTACAAATAACAACACTATACTACCATCATTAAACACTTATTAAAACAAAGTCATAACTGGGTGTAAATAACTGAACCATATAATAGTGTCATGTAACTGTTAGTGATGTTTCCCCGGTTGTCCTGAGCTAACTCTTTCCCTATCCTTTTTCTTTGCTTTCACCTTTGTGCCTCTACTCGTTACAATGAAGCCGTTTTTACCGCCCCTAGTCGTCACAACGACGTCGTCTTCCATGGCAACAACTTCTTCCTCTTCTACTTCTTCATCCTGCAAGTAGAATCAGAACACACATGTTTGAGTTTTTTCATAATATTACTAAAAACTTCTCAAATATTGATCTTTAGACTGAATATTAACAATTACTTTTTTTTTTCTGTCGGTGAGAATATATTATTAACCTTTATAACGTGATTATCGTTATGCACACTTAATTTTTATGTGTTTTTATTTTTAAAACATGGTTTTAAAATTTCATTAAGTTCAATAAATAACCGCTAAATACTTTAATGTACTACACAACACCAAAAGAATAATAAAACCATATTAATCCAGAATATTTTCTTGGAAATTCAGTATAAATATTATTGCTAGAGAAACTTACCGGCTGGTTTAAGGGTACCGAATCAGACGACGTTTTTGTCATCGTAGGTGGATCATGATGAAGTAGACCAAGACACCTTAAGATAGCTTTAAGAGTTTGGTCCAGGAACTGAAAAGGAAGCCATAGATAAGATGCTTCATCGCTTTGTCTCTCAATTTTTTCCATTGAGATGAAATCTTAATAAGTTAAAACCTTTACTAGACGGTTGATTAAGTTTAGTGAGAGAAGTGAAGCTGTTTTTCAGATGTGAGTGATATTGGGAAGAGAGGTTAGAGAAACAGCTTTGCGTTTTATAGTGGGATAATAACTCGGTATTTGGTATGACTTTTTTTTTAATCAGTACTATAAAATACATTTTCTAAAACCACGACTTTCGGAATAGGAATAATTAATTACGCTCTGAGGTTTTAATTTATTTAGTTGACACTAGGAAATGTAAAGAAACGAAATGATTATTCATACGTATACTAAATTATGTAGTAGTATTTGTTATTGTCATTAGCGACATTAAGCATGTGGGTTTGACCTTTAAGTGGGTTGATGACTCTGCTGTCTACTAATAATCTACTACATTCGAATAAACAATAACAGTAGTTTACTTAAAAAGAGGACGAACGTTGGGTACTTGGATTTTTTTTTTTAAACACTGGGTACTTGGGTTATAAAATGAATTCTTTTAACGTTGAATCACTTGTCTTGTAGCTAGATAGCTGATGCCGGACAATATCCAGTGTATATATCTAATTCACTCGACTCCCTGTGCTTATGGCTCAGACGATTAGAGCTCGATTGATCGCATAAAGCACTGCCAAAGCTTCTGATCATCCAACTAGTTAAATTTTTGTTTGTTTGTTTAATCATCCAACCAACCTATGTATTGTCTTTTGAAACATACTGAACCAAGTGGTGGTAACTTAGTGACAATCTTTTGACATTTGGTGTGTATCCACATCAGTTTTGGGTTCGATTTTCTCTGGAATCGATGCACCCCCTAGCATTAGTCAAAAAGTATTCCAAATTCGAATAAGACAGTGTAATATGCTTTCCGACTAGTGCACTCTATACAACTAAATACATTGCTCTCGAGACCGACCGAATCAGCTGATAGAGTTTATCAAAAAAAAAAGAAAAGAAACTTACTGGAGTAACATTTAACTAAGACTTAGTAATTGCAGTTATATAGTTTTCTGGCGTTGATCAAAATCGTGATCAAGGGTTAAATTCTTCGCTAACAACATGTTCTTTTTGGTAAATTACACATACATTTTTTTTTGTTTTTTTAAAAAATTATTTATATCTTTTATAAAATTATACTTTTCCTATATCAATGGTGGATGCGGCTATATATATGCAACTATGAAATCTCTATTTCCTAGAGAAATTTGGACAATTAAGAAATCAAAATTCTCTGATATTGTGCTAGATGCAGCTATGCATAAATAAATAAAAATTATATATTTTTCTAATTTATCTTGAAATCTGTGGATTAATCCTATGAAAATATCTAGTTTTTCTGATAAATGTTATTTGTACTTAAATTTATCATTTTTAGTTTTATTTAGAATCTAACCACATTAAAAATTTATACTAATGTATCCTAAATTTATTTTCATGGTACATGGGTATCAGTTATAATTTTCCAACGAGTATTTAAATAAAACTTCATATACCACGTAAATAAAAAATTAAACCCTATGAATACTCTATATTCTATAAAAATTGAGACAAAAAGGTGTTAGACATCCTTAATCTTCATCCTATATCTATGCTCTATGCATCTATATGCATTAAAGAAATACTGTATTTAAGCTATTTCATGTTGATTAAAAAAATACGTAATCACATTATACATTTTTATTAATGTATGTTAAACTTATTTTCATGATACATGAGCATCATTTCTAATATTATAATGAGTAATATAATAAAAATTTATATTCTACATAATTATGTGGACTACCCCTATAAATAAATAATTTTATAGAAACATGGACAAGAATAAGGTCTTAGACCTTTTTAATTTTCATCACATGTCACTGCATGATGATATTATGCATTAAAACAAAATATAATATTTTCTAGTTTATCTTAAGAAAAGATCAAGTTTTGTTTCAATAAGTTTTATATATACTAAAGTTTATCCTCATTAATTTTTTTTTTAAAAACAACTAACCACACTCTAATTCATATTAATGTATGCTAGACATATTTTAATGGTATATTGGCATCATTTCTAATTTTCTAAGGAATACTTTTTTTAAACTTCATCAAATACGATCTAATTAGTGTAATAACTCCTGTAAAATCTCTATTTTCTAGAGAAATAGAAACACCTAAGGTCTCAAACATATTTAATCTTCATACAATTACAGTGCATGATGTATTTATGCATTAAAACAAAAATATGATATTTTCTAATTTATCTTGAAAATATGTGGGTTAACCCCTACGAAAAGATTGAATGTTTCGATAAATACTATCTATATTATTTAGCCTCTTTAGTTTTGTTTAAAAATACGTAACCCCGCTCCAAATTTATATATATATGTGCTAAACTTATTTTCATGGTACATGGCATCATTTTTAATTTTTTAATGAGTAATTTATTTAAACTTCATATACCACCTAATAAGTGGACTAACCCCTTATAAAACCTCTATTTTCTAGAGAAACGGGAACACCTATGGTCTCAACCCTCTTTATTCTTCATACTATGCCAGTGCATGATGTAGAAATTCATTAAAACAAAAAAAAATATTTTCTAGTTTATATTGAAATATGTGGGTTAACCTCTGCAAAAAGATTGAGTTTTCCGATAAATGTAATATATAGGCCTCTTTAGTTTTGTTTAAAAATACCTAACCACGTTCAAAATTTATATTAATGTACTAAACTGATGTTCATGGTACATGGACATCAGTCTTAATTTTCACCCGAGGAATTCAATAAAACTCCATATACCACCAAAATCAATGAACTAAACCCTATAAAATCTCTATTTTCTAAAGAAATTTAGAGAACTAAGGTATCAAAACTCGTTAATATTCATCATATATCACTGTTGGATGCAGATATGTATAAATACAAAAATTCCATATTTTCTAATTTATTTTAAAATTTGTGGATTAATTCTTATGAAAAATCTAAGTTTTCTGATAAATGCTAATGTACTTAAGTTTAGCCTCTTTAGTATCGTTTAAAATATCTAACTACATTAAAAATTTATAATAATGTATCCTAAATTTATTTTCACGGTATATGGGCATCAGTTATAATATTCCAACGAGCAATTTAATAAAATTGCATATACCACATAAATTAAAGAACTAAACTTAAAAAATCTCTATATTTTCGAGAAATTGGGACAAAAAAGGTGTCATACATCCTTAATCTGTATCATATATCTGTGATGAATGCATCTATGGATTAAAAGAAAAACACTTTATTTTTTAATTTATCTGAAATTTGTGGGTTAACCCCTACAAAAAGATCGAGTTTTTTGATAAATGCTATATACTGAAGTTTAAGCTATTTTATGCTGATTAAAAATACGTAATAACATTATAAATTTTTATTAATATATGTTAAACCACCATTTATAATATTTTATTGAGTAATTTTATAAAATTTCATATTCTAGATAATTATGTGGACTAAACCCCCTAAAAATGTAATTTCCAAAGAAACATGGACGAATAAGGTTTCAGACCTCTTTAGTTTTCATTAAATGTCAGTGCATGATGAAATTATACAGTAAAACAAAATACCATGTTTTCTAATTTATCATACAAAAAATCAAGTTTTTTTCCATTAAATGTTATATATGCTAAAGTTTATCCTCATTAATATTTTTATTAAAATAAATAATCACACTCTAATGAATTTTTTTTTTTTTTTGAATTGAATGTTAAATTTAACTCAAAAGAAAAAAGTACCTTATTACAACAAGTGTTACCTCTTAAAACTTTACTTCAAAAACTATATAAATTTTGAAAGACTCAAGAAAACCACTTCAAAACTCAATCCAAAAAGCCATCCAAAGACAATCCGTCCAGCATCTCTCCGCCTAAAGCTTAACCTTCTCATTCACCCAAATCACCCAGCTCTCACTCCTACTGGGTGCCAGCTCTCACTCCTACTGGTAAATCACCTTCCTCCACCAACCAACACCACTTCCTCAACACAAACTCACCTAGCTCTCACTCCTACTAGGCGCCAGCTCTCACTCCTACTGGAATTCATCACCACATCCAATACAAAGGCTAGAAATAATACAGCCATGGGAAGGAGAAAACTATCTTGAATCAAACCAGAATCTCATCCCCCCTTCCAAATCCGTGTTACCATTCCTCTGCAAGATAGTAAATCTGTTCCTCATGTTTTTATCAAGTCTCTTAATCAGAATTTCCCTAGGCAGAGGAGGTTCTTTGTGTCTCCTCCTATTCCTTTCCAACCAAATGGCATGTAATGTAGACTGCAGCATATAGCGAGAGATAAAAAGCTTTATCTTAGACCAGTTCGATCTCTCAGATAAAAGCTGTATAAGACTAGACCAACTCACAGTGAATTGATCCTGTAAAATACCCTTCATGAGGACCTCCCATATATACGCTGAGTACTCACAACCAAAGAAAAGGTGGTCAACAGTCTCCATGGTTTGTTGGCACAACATACAAACTGTATCTGCATCATTACCCCAAGAAGCCATGCGATCCCCTGTTGAAAGCCTTCCAATAATAGCCATCCAAGTGATAAAAGCAAACTTTGGAGTTGCAAACTTAAACCAAACTGCCGAATACCAAGAACAGCATTGATGTTTTTCTCTAATATTAATCCATGTATCGCGAGTAGAGAACCTAACTTTATAATTGCCTCTTTCATTTCTCCATAAAGGTACATCCTCCTGCTGATTCCAATTTCTCTTATAATTCTCAATCTCCTCCTCCACCAAATTCAACATAGGTACCCTATGGCTTCTCCTTCGGTGGTTTAGACAAGCCTCAACTGTAGAACCCATCGCAATACCCAAATCAAAATACCCTCTTCCACTTAAAACCTCCTGCAATCTTCCTAACTTGGACCAAGCTTCAAACCAGAAACAAGCTTTCTTCCCATTTCTCACCTGCACTCTGTATAAAGACTTAGCAACCTCCCGACATCTAAGAACCTTTCTCCACATCCAAGAACCATTTTGAGTGTCCTCCTTAATCATCCAAATAGACCCCTTCCGTATCAAGTAGGTTTTT